GACTTCAGGAGAAATCCACACAGCGCCACAAAAGCCAAAACGGTGTCATTGTAGATTTGCGTAGACAAACGCACATTTCCTATAGCAATGTATGAAAGAAATGTACACTGGAGAGTCTCGAACTGAACTTCAACAAAAATAATTGACAAAGAATACTATCATACCCCACTGGTTTCTTGTGTTTTAAAAAAAAAGATTCTACCAATAGATGCTGGGAGAAAGTGATATGGTCGGTGATTGTACTCATGTCTTCTGGGATTGTCCGAAAATACATACATTCTGGAAGAATGTTAAAGAGGAGCTGGAGAAACTTCTGAAAAGTTCATATTCACCTGGACCCATTATTGTTGCCTGAACACATGTTTACTAATGACCAGTGTTACATACAGCATTTTTTGTTGATGTTTGCCAGAATATGAATCACTATTAATTGGATGAAGCCTAATCCGCCAACGACTGTTCAATGGTTACCAAAAGTCAAGCATGTTTATTTGATAAGCTACAATTAAACTTCTTATTTTTATAAGAAGACGGAAACCTGTTATTGTTTACCTCAGTTAGTGTGTATATGTGTATGGAGGTATAGAATGTGAAGATGTATGTGTTCTGTCCCTGCAACATGTATGTTAAGTGAAGCCCCAATCTCAAGGTGAATTTGTTATATGTTAAATGTCTGTCGATGTGTGTTAACAGCAAAGTTAAAAAAATGGACACTATTATTTGACATTAGCATCCAAGACTCGGTGGCTATATTATGGTCAGCAATACCATCAAGATCCCAAAGATATTCTTCTGTTTTTTTAATCAACATTGTGAAACGCCAGCCTGGTTACAGTCCTCTGTGCTATATTGCCCGTATTGATGTTTTTCTTGCTTGATTTAAATCAAGAACTTAAGAATTACTTGAGTTAAACCAGATGCAGTTTTACTCCAAAAATGGGACTTGGACATGCTGATGGAAACCAATAACAGCATCATAAACCATCAAGCCCTCACTCCAAGATTTGAGGTACTCTAGGGCCACAAAAACTTCAATGCTGGAGAGACATTTTTGGCTGTGCTTTTAACTAACAAGAAGGAACATGAGTCTAGATCTGAGCTGGAAGGAAGTGTCTCAGAAGAGGTAACCAGAGCTCTCCCTGTATGGTTCTTCAGGAATAGCCGATCACATGCTGTATGTATCAACTTGCTGATGTAGGAATCATGTTTTGTTTCTTCCTAAGTGTGATCACAGTTAGTCTGGAGTTAATCAGAGATCAGCTTTCACAGTCTGACTCTACAGATACGCACTGGCATTTCCCAAAGGTGGTCTTCTACGGGAACTGTGAGAATCGACATATATCTGTGTGAACAGCAGAGCTGCTGTGATTAATCAACAAAGTTAGCTATTATAGTTCTTGACAGTAGCCAGCAACTTTCTACCTCTTTCAAACTCTTTCAAGAGTTTGTGATGAAGACTCTGAAGGCTTCGCTTGCCTTCTGGGAAAGAGAAAGGCTTTGCTTGCACACACTTTAACAGCACAAGTCAAGATATTGACTGTTTCAGAGACTTTTGTTCACAAAAAACACAGATGCTTACCAAAGTACCAGGGCTAAACGAATGAAGTGAATATTGCGGTGAATATAATTCAGTAATCTACTCCTCCCACACTGACTGAAACAGTGCAAAGAAAGTCTAGGAAACATAAGAATAATGCTCCAGTAGGTTCTTGAATAAAAGGCTCTGTACCTGTAGAAGTATATCGCAAAAATGAACGATTACAGAGAGGACTGGACAACTGATCAAGATTATTTTACAGCAGAGGCTCCCAAGCGGTGCAACCATCGAAGCCAGAGGTCATTAATAGGCGGACCACGGTCCGAGTCCGGACCCCGACACTGTCCTGTGCGGACCTGAGCCTATAACTGATAAACTACGGAGACTTATTTATTTTCGATGGGGTGGTCCTATTTTAATCGGCGTAGCTTTTCTAGTCTTTACGGTTTCGCTACAGCGGCCCGGGAAACTCACAGACCAATCGCATGCGTTGTAAATACCACACGTGATGCTACTCAGCCAATCAGATCTGTGCATTACGATGAGCACTGAGAGTCGAGTGAGTGACGCACACACAGGGGAGGGATGAGGCAAGAAACAGCAGTCAGAGAAGAAAGTGAGTCAGAGGGAAGTTATTTCACATGATGTGCTCTAAAAACAGAAAACTGACTATAAATGTTGTTGAAATATGACTGAATTGTACTTTATTTGATTTGATTATTCAGTTGTTGACTGTATAAGATGCTGATATAACTACTAGGCTACTTCACTAAACAGTATATGGCACTGAATCATGATGCAAGTTAGACATTATGATGTTCCGGACCTTTGCTTGAGGAACTTTTCTCTAACTGGACCTTATTGAATTTTAATTAAAGACCCCTGATCTAAGCATTGGTCCCATCATCAGGAGATCTCAAGTTCAATCCCTGGTGATGCTACAGCCATCCGTGGCTGGGGGTCCAAGAGAGCACAATTGTCCTCGCTCTCCCCATCACTCAACGTGATGCTGTTCAGCGCAGGCGTCTGTTAGCTGACGTAACAGATCTGGCGGTTGGCGCTTTCCTCCGAGCGCATTCGGCTGTCCAGTGACGTTGCGTAAACGGCAGTTCGAAAAAGATGCGGTGGCGCTTCACAGGTCTCGGAGGAAGCCTGTGTTAGCCTTCGCCCTCCCAGCACCGGTGGCATTGTGTGCTTGGGGGAGTCCTAACTATTGGGTGCAATTGGATAAACCTAAATTGGGGCGAATATTCCAGACTATTTGACAGCATGGGTGGTCCTCTTGAAAAATCACTCTATTACACGTTGCATAGGGTCATTCTGACAGACTGCAATACACTACAGGAAGCTGAGGCAGCGACATAGTCTCTATTGTTTAACTGCACCGAAGAAACTGCAGCACTGAAGAAAGTGATGTTTGTTGCACAGATGGCGATGCCCTGATGTGAGTGGACAGGCACAGAAGGTATACTGATATAATGGTTCATTTATTTGCTATTATTACTTAATAGCAGTAAAAATGGTATTTGCTGCCCTATTCAACAAGAAAAAGGACGTTACCACAACATCTTCTACCATCTGTGGTAATCTCCCAAGGCTTCAGATCGGGCCGTGGACGAGTCATACGAGGTACCTCGCTTTCAAAAGCATAGCTTTCACTCAGTGGTCTTATAGCCGAGTTCACCAACCACACCTCTCCGGATCAGAGGGGCATGCGGAGGAGCGCTGCTTCCCTCTGCACCTCGCTGTGTCACAATCGATCAGGCAGCGTGTAAGTAAGCAAAGGGCTCCTGCGCCCTCCCCTCCACCTGACCCTGACAGCTCTGGACTGCCGAACCCCATACATCAAAGGCCGGGTAAAAATAGCTGCCTTGGCGAAAACGCTGGCGCGTTCCCTAAATCGATTCTCCGCTGCCTCACTCGCCTCGCAGCACAGCCTGACAGCTTAACCCATATTCTCCCTCCTCTCTCCAGCACGGGAAATGGAGTGGGAGGCGGGTTGCGAGCGCAGGTTCCATCCATGCAATACCTTCCTACTCACGCAGCACTAAATGCAGCTCTCTCAGTTCTCGGACACCATCGATTCAGCTCGGTTTAGGTATTTTCCAACAGAGACAATGCTATTCAAGGTTAGCCGTGAGATCGATGGCCCACATTTGGGAGAACGGAGAGGCACAAGCTGGACTAGCAAAAACTCAACAAGAAAAACAAACAAACAAATAAACAATTCTAAAACTCACAGCTCGAGCTTCGCTTCCCAAGGGCTCTGTGGTGAGCGTCAGTAGCGAGGGGTGTGTGTGTGTCAATCAGCAGAAAAACAGCAGGGGTACAAAGGCGCAGATAAACCTCCAAAGGCTCAGACGCTTCTCAACAACAACGTTCTAACTGAAGACTTCAGAAAAGAAACAACTTTCTAAATTTCTCATTTCTCATAAACAAACCTCAAACTGAAGATCCAATACAGAGAGAAGTAACAAACTTTTAATGCTATTACAAATGAGGTCACTGCTGCTTTCCATGATAAAAAAACAGCAAACTAACCACATAAAATAACTAAACTGAACTAAAACCTAAAACAGAACTAAAAGCATGATGGTAATGACTAAAGTGATCATTCTACTGTGTTGCATCCTTAGTATCTAGTGCAGGGGTGTTAAACTCAACCCCTGAAGGGGCCACATAAAAAAAATCTCAACACATTTGTGGGCCAGAGAAAAAAAATGTTTTTATTTAATTTTTAATTAATGTTGTGCTACTACCTGAACTGGCCATTATTTATTCAAATCACGCAAAAACTTCAGCAGTAAAATACAGGCACTTGTAGTAGACCTTGAAATATTACATGAATACTTATTTCAAAATGGAAATGTCCCCAGGAGCTCAGTCTACCTAAACCTGCCTGAACTAGACACCTGGCATCTTTTTTTTGCTTCAAGTTTATTAATACTTGCGTTCAATTTCTGAGCTGCTGAGCTGATGATGATGTAGTGCAGGGCATTGCGAAACAGGCAAATAATAATAGAAAATTAAAATGCTTTTGTGGGCCGGACAGGACTGCGTCACGGGCCTGATGTGGCCCATAGGCTTTATGTTTGACACATGGGATCCAGTGGATTGTATAAAATACTATTCGGGCCTATAAACAAGGTATTCAGGCCAGCTGTAGTATTCTGGCCTATAATAGCAGAAGAACTGGCACGTCATCTCTTCAGCAATGCTCTGACCGTGAATGCAGCTGTTCCGCAGCAGTGTGAGCTGGTTCGGGTCAGGTTCGAAATTAGCCTGGTCTAGTCTGGTCTCAAAGTTACAGGTATGGGTCCGGCATAGGCAATTTCATTCCTCAGTTACTCCAATTACATTTCATTCTAATTAATAAACCAAGATGATCCTTCATAAATCCAGTCACTCATCGGTCAAGCATGTGGTCAAAAACGTAGCAAGAGAAAAACAGTGAGGTTCCTACCTGCAGAGGTCTGTTTGAACTTCTCGCTCTTCTTCTTCCTCCATTTCCAGGGTTTGAAGAGTCGGCCGAGAGTGGCGAATTTGCTCCTGCGGCGGAGGGGTGGCGTGTGGGCGCCGGGGACGAGGGACTCGGACCGCATGGCAGCCAGTCGCTCGAAGTCCTCTGCTGGAGGAAAGAGGAAGACATGCGAAAGAGGTAAGAAAACGACAACATGCAGCAGAGCTCTGCGAAAAAACACTCAGTATCGGAGTCACAGTCACTGTAACTAAAGGAAGTGAACCATAATTGATTAAACAATCTACTGTTTTTCAATTAACGCACTCATCAAACCATTCGCCTCGTTACAGCGCAACCAATTATGTGCAACCAGCAGTCTCTCCTTCTATGCAGCAATAAAACAGAGGCCATATCATGCCCTATGCTTTCTGTAGTGTGCAGCAATCTATCCAATCACTATGACTGCATGCATCATGTTATAGAGGATTATACAGTTTAAATACACAGAATGCCAACATCGGTCAATTACATTTGCTAGGTTTGTGAAGCTAAAAGCCCAGAGACCCTGGACAAACAAATAAACAAAACATATTCCGTACATAATTAATTAATGACATCATTAACCTCTTCAACCCACCAGGGTTCCAAAACGTACTTCATCATATTCTTAATAACGTTCATATTTCATAAGCTGTATTCAAAAGGTGGGTGTCATATGAGAGTCAGATAGATGGGTAATGTAATTTTAAACCGTCTAAAATTTTGGGCTTTCAGCAGTAAATTGTAAGCATATAGCAATATGTGTATGATCATAAAATCATGCTAATTTGAGGGGAGCTTTTCCAAAAAAATAAAAAATAAATAAATAAAATTTACATTTATTTCATGCAGTTACTGAATAATTTGCCTTACGATTTGGTCATGTAAATTCAGGTGGACAAATCAAAATATACCCCAGAGAATAAAAGGTTAATCAACCAAAAGACCATTTTAAAGCTACACTATGTCAATATGGGTGGAACTGTGTAACTGCGTGCAATGTGTGGAAGAGCATTTTATAATGTGGGTTGTGCTTCGGACCCCTTCCCCAAGTGGATGAATTGGATGACTGCGAGTGTGTTGGAAGAGAATTCAAAGAGAACTCAGCCAAAACTTGGTGAAGGACGCTGTCTGTGTAAAATGTAAATAAATGTAAATAAAAACAGAAGGTGCAAATCTCAATCACCCATATTTTACTCACAATAGAACACAGAACACATATCAGATGCTGAAAGTGAGACATTTTACCATTTTATGAAAAATATTAACTCATTTAGAACTTGATGGCAGCAACATCTGACAAGTTCTATGTTGTACTGTGAATAAAATATGGTTCTATGAGATGTGAAAATCATTGCATTCTGTTTTTATTTACATTTATTTACATTTTACACAGCGTCCCAACTTTTTTGGAATTGGGTTTGTACTATTGTGATCATATCTTCATCAGTAAAATACTGTTTTTGCATTTGAGACTTAAACATCGAACCGGACCTTCTTTTTCAAGCCTGTGCGTGTGCCATTAATATGTATGATGTGGACTGAAAAACCTGACCCGACACCTCTGACTTGTGTGTTACCCTTTCTGGCTTTACAGGGCAACTTGCAGTGAACAGACACCATATTTTAGCATGTATTTTAAAATTCTCCTGACTCAGTAATGCCCTACTTTCAATTTAACCAAACAAATCTTACATAGTGCAGCTTTAAAAATACTGAGAATACTTATTAGTACTGAGAATACCTGTCAAAACCAAAACCAACCACAGCACCACTTTCCTTAACACATCCTTAACCACTCAGGGTCGCTCCGATTAAGATGAATACGATCACATTATGCTGGAGATCCTAAAGAGATTGTAGGCTGCCTAATACGCGGGAGTCTTACGGTTGCCAGGGCCTGATCTCAGCATGGTCTTCTGGGCATTGCTTACTCAGCCTACCATCTCGAAGCTGACAAACAACACACATATGGGCACAGCGTTTAACGTCATCCTTTACAGGAATACCAGGCCCCAACAGACCATTCAACCCAGTGACATCATCATGACTCAAAAGGCAAGAAAGAGAGGGGAACTTGGCCTCCTTCACGGAATTAGGAAATTCGGATTTGATTTTATGGTAAACAATACCAGTCGGACTCAAAGGATGTTTTTCCCCTGTAGATTCAAAAACAATCATCGACACAAGTGGAAACCAGCTTGACCTTCATTACCTCCTACTTGAGAGGCAGCTGGAGCCATCACAATTAGGACAATAATGATTTACTACTTTTTATAGTAAATTGTAGTAAATTTTATGCCACTGTAAATCATTTAATTTGGCTGATTAGCTACCTTGCCAGTAATTTTATATAGCACACATTTTTGCACGTACACACAAAAAAATACCTACAGTTACACAGAATCATGAGTAGAATCAAACAAAGCCCACATTTCCTGACTTAACTCCTAACTTATGTCATCACAGTTACATTAATAATTCTAAAAACAGCAACAGACACGTCAGTATAGCACTGTAGTTTGCATTCTGGTGCACTTATTAGTCATGTTGGTACTGAAGCCCAGTCATGCCAGATAGAGGAGAAACAGTCACTTATGATTCTTTTTTTCCTTCCTTCTCTGTTTCTGGTAGCAGTACGTCAAAATATTGACTTAGCCTCTCAAAATAATTACTTATGAGATACTACTACTACTACTACTACTACTAATAATAATAATAATAATAATAACAACAATAACAACAACAACAACAACAAAAACAACAACAACAGTAATTAAATTTCAAGAAAGTATGGGATAAAAAGTCTTTATTTTGAAATAATAAGTCACTATTCTGGCTTTGCAAGTCGATATTTTGAGGAAAAAATAATCATTTCAACATAGTTAGCCAGTAGTTTGAGAAAATAAGTCATTATTTAGAGATTGTAAGTCAATATTTTTAAAAAACTGTGATTATTCAACATTTTTATTCAAAAATCTATATCTTGTTATTATTATTTCACTTGTTTTCACTTGTTATTATTTCAACATAGAAAACCAATAGTCTGAGACAATATTATTTAAAAACAATAATTACATGGTTTGAAAAATAAATAATTGTTTCAACATAATAAGTCATTATTTTGTGAAATAAAGTCATCATTTCTACATAGTTAGCCGGTAGTTTGAGAAAATAAGTCATTATTTAGAGATTATAAATCAATATTTTGAGAAACTCATTATTTTCAGATATAAAGGCAATATTTTAGGAACAGAAGTCACTATTTCAACATAGAAAAATCACTATCTTGAGAATTTATCATTTCAGCATAGTAATCCAAAAGGTTCAGAAAACTGCAGTTTAAGTAAATGTTTTGAAAAACAGTCATTGTTTTGACATAAGTCAAAATCTTTAGGGAATAAATCAGTATTTTGAGATATTAAGCCACAATTTTAACATGCTGCTGATAGAAACAGAGAAATATAAGAATTCTAGTTTTTTCTCCTCTACCTGGTGGGCTTCCATATTTTAGTGACTTTATCTTCACCTGGAAGAGTCAAGAATTCACTAAGTTGAGGTTTTCTTCAGTTGCAAGTGTTTCCAAAGACAGAGAACAACGTAAAGCATCATTAACTCATGTTGACTCCCATCTTTAGCACACACTAAAAACCTAAACCTGGAATCTTCTGTACTGAACCGACAGCCAATGGAAAAAACACAGTTCCAGTTTTCTTGTGCAGTAGAAAAACACCCTAAACGAATCTTAAGAAGCACAGAAAAGCACTACTCAAAAGAAACAATAGCAAACGCTTTTAAACAAAGCCCTAAGAACAGGCGTTGCATAACAAAGTGGTCAAATCAATTTTGTCAGAATAAATGCAAAATTTCAGTTGACAGGAAATCTACATTTAGCTTGAAACTGTCATTGCGCATAAGCAGCTCCTTCGTTTGAAATGCAAAGCACACAATGCCCAGCTCTTATCTGCCCAGACGCTGACTGACTGTGACGTTTCTGATGTCTTCATGCTTTTTGAAATGCTTACAAAGCACAAGACACGAACGTGCACTTTTAATACAGCGGCCACAGCCAAGAACTGACTGCAGCTTTTATCTCACGTAGCCTGATTAAAGACCGACCCCTCTCCGGTTAGCAGCTTAACGCCTCATGACAAAAAACCCCTGAGAAGCTTGAAACCAGCAAACAAACAAATAAACAATGTTTGTGACCTTAAAAGTCTTGAATTCCACTGATTTTTTTTATTTTCTGCATAATTTAATAGTTGATATTTGAACAAAGTCATTCAGAGTGGTTTGATCTGAAATTCTCTGTTTTGGAGAAACTTACTGAGTCAGAATTGTTTACAGTGGTGGTGATGGGAACCAGACGTCTGAGGGGTTTAACGCTGTTAAAACCTCCCTCACAGAAAGTTACGATGAGAATATTTTGGCCTAAAATGTATATTTTATAGTCCATTCATGGTAGAAGGGCTGTAAGTAAAACAGTCCTCAAAGCAACTTATTTTTCAGATGCATCATTATTTTACCATCATCAACATCCATATAAAAACTCAGAAGACAGGTGTGTGGGTTCACTGGCTGCTTTGGATACTAAATAAAACTACCTCACACCACTTAGTGCAACACCTGCTGTCAGGTAAATACAACAAATCTGTCTTATATGCTGTGTAAATATGCGAATAGATGTACTTCTATTCCCACTCTGTCATAGTTACTTTACCTTATGTCTATTTTTCTACTTCTGTTTTTTATTCCTATTTTTATTTCAGCCTAATTTATGCAAAGTTATGTGTAATTATATGTCTCAGTACTGTAACACTGCAATTTCACCTCAGGACCAATAAACCATTAATTCATTCAGTCGTTCGTTCGTTCCTTCCTTTTTTTGTTCGTTCCTTCTTTTATTCCATCCTTTGTTTCGTTTGTTCATCCCTTCCTTTGTTCGTTCGTTCCTTCCTTCGTTCCTTTGTTCGTTCCTTCCTTCCTTCCTCCCTGTTTGTTCGTTCCTTCCTTCATTCCATCCTTTTTTTGTTTGTTCATTCCTTCCTTCCTTTGTTCGTTCCTTCCTTCATTCCTTCCTTCCTTTGTTCGTTCATTCATTCCTTTGTTCGTTCATTCATTCCTTTGTT